AAGATAATCCCACAAGTAAGCTGTTCCCAAGCAGTAAAGGGCTTTGTATACTAATAGTTACACTTTGAACTTGGCCCTGTAGCAAATTGGCAACCAGGGCAGGTCTCTGAGCACAGGAGTTATATGCTGACAAGGTCTCACTTCAGCCACCATTTGTGCCTTGACGTGAGGACTCCTGCAAACAGAGGACCGTTCTCCAAAGCAGAACATCCGGCCACTCCATATAGGGTATTTTATCACACCGATGTCCGCCTCTGCATTTCCTCTATCCCTTGGCATCTCTCCAAGCTTGAGGGATACGAAACAAGGGACACCCTTATCAACACACGGAAACAGGCCTTTATTATCTGACAGGAAATATCTCTATAAAAACTGAACCTGCCACCTAAACATGAGACGCAGGCTTGACTGTAGAAATCTAAGCAGCCCTGGTGTCGGGAGGAATCAGCCTTCCTTGGCACCTGCCAGCAGCAAACATATTTTGCTTCTGTATAATCCAGGATTTCGCTGCCACCGTAACCCCAACAATATCACCTTCTCCTTCAGTGCTCCTGTTCGCAACTCGGTGTTACAGCTAAGCCCTTACGAAAAACAAAGAGGTGCCTGTTGATAGATAATCCTTGAAGACTGGCCTTTGTGTGAAACTCAGAGAAGAAGGGGGAAAGAACACCCCATCACGGAACGGCATTGGCAGGAAACACAAATAACTCTGGCTAATTTTCACGAGTGTTTTTCAGCTCTGATAATGGGTTGCATTGAGTATTTCTTTCTTCGGAGAGGCCAGCGGTAATGTGATGTATTTATCAAAGAAGAGATTCCAGGAAACAATGTTATATAAGGGGAAGGGGGGGGGGAGCCCACCCGCATTAAACAGCCAGATAGGAGAAAGTGGTGGTGGTGGTGGGATACCAAAGGGTACAATCAGGTGCAAGAGCTCTTGCATCATGGAAAGATTATTCAACAAATGCAGTTTTATTCAACAGATAGGCCCAAGCCCAAGATGAGAGCCAAACCCAGCCTGGTATAAAGCGAACATGGAGCATGCATTCTCCTATTACCAGTTGACTCTTGGTCAAGAGGTCTCAAACTGTCAGCAGCTTCTTGGCAAAGCACATGTTTTTCTTTTTTCCTGCCCTCCCTTCATCCCAGGCAGATTTTGTGTACCGTAGAGCTAGAACAGATAGCTTGTGTGCAGGAAGAATTTGGCACCTGCCATAGCTTTCCCATTTGGAATTGCCTCCTCTCCGGTTTACAGCTGTTTGTCACATCCCAATTCCATCCTTGGAGTGGTGCAGGAAGTTGTGTTATGCCAGGCCAGACCATTGGCCCATCTGTCCCAGTGCTGTCCCCTTAGGCATGAACAACTCTGTAGCATCTCCAGCCTTTGGCTTCTGCTGCTACCAGATCCCTTTGCAACAACAGGGTCCAAGGACTGAACCTCCTGCTTTGCATGCCGCTGGGCCTCTTAAAGCTATATTGGAACCACAGAGATCACCTCCCTCCCTCTTGTCTCTATGTGGATAGTGTCATAATAATGTTTTGTCACTAGATGGCACTGGACTTGGTTGTATCTGGGCGGAGTCAGGCGTTTCCTACTGCTGTTCTGTTTGTGTTTAAGAGAAACAACAAAATTCTTGTCTAGCTTCCTGGCGGATGTGCCCTCTAAGCTTTCTGGGACTGTCTCCAAAGAAGGTTTTACCTCTTTCAGTTGTTTGCTCTGATAGGTTGGCTGCTGGTTGACTGATTTTGGTGCTGGTTCAGTCCTCCCCCCCATCTGCAGTTAGTGTTGTGAGTCACAAAGGTTCATTCCAAAGCAACTCAGCTGTTTTTCTGTCTGCCTTATAACTGACAACAGTTCTTAAAATAGGCCACCCACTCGCAGCCTCTCCAGTTCTGCTGCTGCTGTTCTGAGGAGCTCTTATCGCAAATGCAGAGGCAGCGGTTGGAAAGGAAGGTGACAGCTTCTGAACAATCTCCAGTTTGGATTCTTCCCTGGAGTATTTTAATTGGGATCCTTGAGACACAGTTCTTGGACTTTGTCTACCGTATGTGCAATATTTGTGCACAGAGAGTGTTTGCATATCATTGGGCTTGATTTTGGGTCCAAGCAATCCAGGCAGCTTCTTTTTCAGTACTTCCAGCCTGCAACTTTGGGGATGTGGGAATTGCTGTGTGGGCCAATGATTATCACAGAACAATATACATGCCCTAGGGAAGGTTGAAGGAACTGGCTATGTTTAGCAAGGAGAGGTGAAGACTCTCTTTCTCTGTGTGTCTGTGCCTCTCTCTCTCTCTCTCTCTCTGTGTGTGTGTGTGTGTGTAGCATATGATAACATTCCTTAAATCCCCAAAGGCTTGAGACAAAGACTCCTTCTCTGCGGCCCCAGAAAGCAGGCTTAAGTAACAGGAAGGTATATTTCAAGTGAACCTTATGAGGAGCCTTTTATCAGAGTAGTGTGACAAAGGAACAAACAATCTGCTGGGGTGGTAGGCTCTCCCTTCAATCAGAGGCTGGACAGCCACCTTTTGGGGATGCTGTAGCAGTGATTGAGGGGGTCAGACTAGATGCCCTACAGGAGCCCCTCCACCTCTATGATTCTATGACACTGGATTACACCATATGCTGAATTGATCTTGCATTCTGGGTCCACCAACCGGGTGCCACTAGCACACAGAATCATAGAATCGTCAAGTTGGATTCATCTCGTCCAACCCCCTGCATTGCAGGAATCTCAGCTAAAGCATCCATGACAGATGACCACCCAACCTCTGCTAAAAACCTTCAAGGAAGGAGAGTCCACAACCTCCTGAGGGAGACCACTCCACTGTCAAACAGCTATTACTGTTGGAAAGTTCTTCGTGATGTTTAGTCGGATCTCCTTTCTTGTAACTTGAAGCCATTGCCTCGAGTCCTACCCTCCAGAGCAGGAGAAAACAAGCTTGCTCCATCTTCCATGTAGCAGCCCTTGAGATATTTGAAAATAGCTACCACACCTCCTCTCAGTCTCCTCTTTTCCAGGTTAAACATACCCAACTCCTTCAACCGTTCCTCACAAGGCTTGGTTTCCAGACCCTTGATCATCTTGTTTGCTCTTCTCTGCACATGTTCCAGCTTGTCAACATTCTTCTTAAACTGTGATGCTCAGAACTGCACACAGTATTCCAGGTGGCGTCTGACCAAGGCAGAATAGAGTGGTACTATTACTTCCCTTGATCTGGACACTACTTCTGTTGATGCAGCCTATAACAGCATTAGCCAGAATAGCATTAACATGGCATTCAAGAGGTACACTGCATCTGAACACTGTTCTCTTTAGCTATTCACTCTTGATAGCCCTATCTTTCATGCATTTATGCAAATCTTTCTCTTTTTGCTTAGCAATAACTGTTTAATTATATAACAATTAAAAACCAACAATAAAGCAGTGTGATCTGATCCGTTGTTCTAATGCTGCATTTGATTTTATGTTTAAAAAATAAGATTGCATTGTTGTGTTATTTTATGAGCATCCCAGAGAATGTGTTACTAAAGGTGGTGGTGGTGGTAAGAGACCTATCAATAGCATGTTGTTGTTGTTTAGTCATTTAGTCGTGTCCAGCTCTTCGTGACCCCATGGACCAAAGCACTCCAGGCACTCCTGTCTTCCACTGCCTCCCGCAGTTTGGTCAGACTCATGTTCGTAGCTTCGAGAACACTGTCCAACCATCTCGTCCTCTGTCGTCGCCTTCTCCTTGTGCCCTCCATCTTTCCCAACATCAGGGTCTTTTCCAGGGAGTCTTCTCTTCTCATGAGGTGGCCAAAGTATTGGAACCTCAGCTTCAGGATCGATCTGTCCTTCCAGTGAGCACTCAGGGCTGATTTCCTTCAGAATGGATAGGTTTGATCTTCTTGCAGTCCATGGGACTCTCAAGAGTCTCCTTCAGCACCATAATTCATAAGCATAAATTCTTCGGCGATCAGCCTTCAATAGCATAAACAATGATATAATTTTCTGCATTTACAAGTAAGGGCAGAAAGGCAACATTATTACCTCAAAGGCTTCATTATTCACCTTTGTGCATGTTGATTCCTAAACATCATTAACACAAAAGAGGAGAAATAAAAAAAATCCTTCCAGTAGCACCTTTAAGACCAACTAAGTTAGTTCTTGGTATGAGCTTTCGTGTGCAAGCACACTTCTTCAGATACACTGAAACAGAAGTTGCCAGATCCTTCTATATAGTGAGAAGGTGGGGAGGGGTATTACTCAGAAGGGTGGTGGGAATGGGAGATTGGCAGATAGCTGAGATGAGCCTGCTGACGACTCTTAACGACTGTAATAGGTCTTACAGGAAAGGCAAGGGGTGAGAAGGTGAGAAATGGCTTAGTCATGTATAATGGGATAAGAATCCAATGTCTTTGTTCAAACCAGGTCTCTCCATGGTTTTAAGTTTGGTAATGAGTTGCAATTCAGCAGCTTCTCTTTCCAGTCTATTTCTGAAATTCCTTTGTAGTAAAACAGCTACTTTGAGATCTTGTATAGAATGTCCTGGGAGATTGAAGTGTTCTCCTACTGGTTTCTCTGTTTTGTGATTCTTGATGTCAGATTTATGTCCATTTATTCTTTGGCGTAAGGTTTGGCCTGTTTGTCCAATATAGAGGCTGAAGGACACTGTTGGCATTTGATGCCATACACAATGTTAGATGATGAGCAATTGAATAGTCCCGAGATGGTATGTGTGATGTTGTTGGGGCCAGTAATGGTGTTGTCCGGGTGTATGTGGCAGCAAAGTTGGCATCTGGGTTTATTGCAGGCTCTGGTGCCAGTGTCCGTGTTAAGTCTGGTTGTAGTATTATTGTGGGTTAGGAGTTGTTTAAGATTGGGCGGCTGTCTGTAGGCAATGAAAGGTCTTCCTCCCAGAGCTTGAGAAAGAGAACTGTCATTGTCCAGGAGAGGTTGTAGATCTCTGATGATGCGTTGTACTGTTTTAACTTGGGAGCTGTATGTGATGACTAGAGGTGTTCTGTTATTTTCTTTTTGGGGTCTGTCTTGCAGACTTATACCCAGAGAGAACTTGCTGCAAGACAGACCCCAAAAAGAAAATAACAGAACACCTCTAGTCATCACATACAGCTCCCAAGTTAAAACAGTACAACGCATCATCAGAGATCTACAACCTCTCCTGGACAATGACAGTTCTCTTTCTCAAGCTCTGGGAGGAAGACCTTTCATTGCCTACAGACAGCCGCCCAATCTTAAACAACTCCTAACCCACAATAATACTACAACCAGACTTAACACGGACACTGGCACCAGAGCCTGCAATAAACCCAGATGCCAACTTTGCTGCCACATACACCCGGACAACACCATTACTGGCCCCAACAACATCACACATACCATCTCGGGACTATTCAATTGCTCATCATCTAACATTGTGTATGGCATCAAATGCCAACAGTGTCCTTCAGCTCTCTATATTGGACAAACAGGCCAAACCTTACGCCAAAGAATAAATGGACATAAATCTGACATCAAGAATCACAAAACAGAGAAACCAGTAGGAGAACACTTCAATCTCCCAGGACATTCTATACAAGATCTCAAAGTAGCTGTTTTACTACAAAGGAATTTCAGAAATAGACTGGAAAGAGAAGCTGCTGAATTGCAACTCATTACCAAACTTAAAACCATGGAGAGACCTGGTTTGAACAAAGACATTGGATTCTTATCCCATTATACATGACTAAGCCATTTCTCACCTTCTCACCCCTTGCCTTTTCCTGTAAGACCTATTACAGTCGTTAAGAGTCGTCAGCAGGCTCATCTCAGCTATCTGCCAATCTCCCATTCCCACCACCCTTCTGAGTAATACCCTCCCCACCTTCTCACTATATAGAAGGATCTGGCAACTTCTGTTTCAGTGTATCTGAAGAAGTGTGCTTGCACACGAAAGCTCATACCAAGAACTAACTTAGTTGGTCTTAAAGGTGCTACTGGAAGGATTTTTTTATTTTGACTATGGCAGACCAACACGGCTACCTATCTGTAACAAAAGAGGAGAGGTATTTGCACTGCAGAAGAGAATTCTGGCTAGTGCAGCCTTTCAACAACATGTCCTGAAGCAAGAATCATTTTAAATCCCATATGCAGGAATGCTCAGAATCTTGCAAATGCATTGCGTATCCTGACAACTCCGCAGCAGCTTGCGGGCTTGTTACACCAATATGCCCTTGGGCATTATTTTGATTACGGGACACCATCGCCCACCAAGGATGGCTTGTGAAATCAAATAGGAGGGCTGCCACAACTTTTATTAGGAAACCTTCCTGCTCTCTGTCAAGGCTGGGACTGGTTTTTACAACCTGTGCCTTTGACACAGGACACATGCTCTTTCCTTTGTCAGTCCCTTGGCAACAAGGAGTTAATCTATGCCTTTAAAAATAAAATAAAAAAGGATTCATTCTCAACTGGCCTTGTCTTTCCTTTTGGCTCTGCACCTGAAGGACACACAACACCTCTTCTTCAACCCCACATTGGCACTAAGGGATGAACAAAGTTCTCAGGATATTTTCTTTTTTAAAACAAAAAACAATGCATTTATTGATTTTCATATATAATAAACATTCCCCCTCTCCCACTCCCCAGAGTAGAGTTTCACCGGTTCTCAGTGTAAATCCCAATTTCTTTTCCCCCCTCAAGATAATCTTTATTAGTTTTACAAATTTCATACTATACATACATATTGTATTACATTTTACATTTATACTTGCTCCTAGGAGCTGACTTCCCTCCTTCCTTCTTCTGACTTTTTTTATATCACCTCTAGATTTTTCGCATTGTCTTTCTCCATTTTATATATTGTTGTTCTGCTTCCACATTTGTCCATAAAATGTCTGTCAACTAATAAATCCTTCTATATATTCAATTCTTAATGTCTATCTGTGTATCATTTGCAACTACTATTGTTACATTAATCACATTATACAATTTATTTCTTATTGTTGTTATCTTTCCAATAAACTTATTTGTATTGCACATTATGAGGTTTGTTTCAGTTCTACTGGTTTCTCTATTTCACACCTTCTTTTCTATGCACAACATAAATTTCTTCCATTCTGAAATGTTTCACCACCCTTTATAAATCCCTATTTCATTACTCATTTCTGCGCATTATAGAGCAGCCAGAATAGTGATGCAGTTTGGGATGTAAAAGAGGAGGAGGCAGCCTAGCATTATACTACCCAGCTTCTATACCATTGCTTTTTGCACCAGAGGTGGAAACATGGGCCTTGAGAACGCAGGAAGCTGCCTTTTGCTGAACCAGACCACTGGTCCATCCAACTCAGTAATGTCTACACGGACCGGCAACGGCTCTCCAGGATTTTAGGTAGGGGGCTCTCCCAACCCAACTTGGAGATGCTGGGGATTGAACCAGGGACTACTGCATCAAGGCAGATGCTCTGCCCCTAAGCTATTCCTAAACGGAGGCGGAGAGAGGTTGTGCATGAAATTTCAGGCTGCACCTGTGCAATGCATCTGTCAGTTTTAGTTTCATATTTTTCCACTCTTAATTCCCATTTCCACATTCGTTTGTAATTTTTTAAAAAGCATTTCAGTTCAGATTTCTCCCAATATGCAATTTTGCTTCAAAGTATCTTTTTTTAAAAAAAACACACCAATGAATTTCTCCTAATATATTGCATATTTGTATGTTGTTTTCACAAACATGTACATTTGTGTAGCAGGCTGGAAGACTGCCTTGCAAAATTTAGAGAAATGTGATGTTTGAAGGAAGGCTGGGTTTTGGTTCACATATAGATTTTCGAAAGTGCTAATTGGGTAGGTTCTGCTTTGAATGTAAACCAAATCAGATTTCGCCCTAATTTCTTATTCGAGCATGTTTTTGGTTTTGAATGCATGCTGAGTGGTAATAGAAAATGAGGGATGTGTGCATGGGATTTTGCTTTGCATCATGAGTTTTTGTTGTTGTTTGTTTAGTCGTTTAGTTGTTTCTGACTTTTCGTGACCCCATGGACCAGAGCATGCCAGACACTTCTGTCTTCCACTGCCTCCCAGAGTTTCGTCAAATTCATGTTGGTAGTTTCGAGAACACTGTCCAACCATCTCGTCCTCTGTCGTCCCCTTCTCCTTGTGCCCTCCATCTTTCCCAACATCAGGGTCTTTTCCAGGAAGTCTTCTCTTCTCATGAGGTAGCCAAAGTATTGGAGCCTCAGCTTCATGATCTGTCCTTCCAGTGAGCACTCAGGGCTGATTTCCTTCAGAATGGAGAGGTTTGATCTTCTTGCAGTCCATGGGACTCTCAAGAGTCTCCTCCAGCACCATAATTCAAAAGCATCAATTCTTCGGCAATCAGCCTTCTTTATGGTCCAGCTCTCACTTCCATACATCACTACTGGGAAAACCATAGCTTTAACTATACAGAGTTTTGTCAGCAAGGTGATGTCTCTGCTTTTTGAGATGCTGTCTAGGTTTGTCATTGCTATTCTCTCAAGAAGCAGGCGTCTTTTAATTTCATGACTGCAAAGGATGACCAGGCATCTCATGCATGCATGTTTCATTTAGTTTCCTCCTTTCCCCATATGCCTTTCTGAGCCCCCAATGTTTCTCCCCCACATACCAGTGCAACCACTGAATCACTCTGAAATACTTTGATGGGCAGCGAACTCTCAGCCCTTGTCCCAGATGTTTTTAGATACACTTCCAAAAAGAAGGCCTTTGCGGGATAAGATCTTTGAAGTACTGATAAGGTTGTGTAATCCCTTTTACCATCTGAGAATTTTATAAGAGCTACCAGAAACACAGGGTGGTGGTATTTTATCTCTTTGAATGGATAACAACTGTTGGCCATTTGTAGCAGACATTTCCCCGGCTTCTTTTTCAACATACAGCCCAATTGTGGAAACTCAGCAGAATGAAAAACACACTTTCAAATCTGGAAAAGTTGCAGGAACTACATATTTTCAAAATGCTGCCCGCACGGTACTTCCCCTGCATAAAAGTGTGAACTGTGGACGCTGAACTTGGCAAATGTGGGTGTTTACCCAAAATTCTTGAAATTTGGGGCAAACTGCAGTAAAATGTCATAACATTCTGACATTTTACTAGGAAATAGCCAGGAACTTGATGTCTCTGGTAGATGACCACATTTTACTCTCATTTCCACCATTTACCAATAAAGAATGAAATTGGTCATGGCACAGAAGTCAAAATCTTAAAAGGCAAAATGGTTGAAGCCAGCAGTGATGTTTGCCAGTAGAAATGGCTCTGAAAAACAATTGTTGGATTAAGCTACATCTGCTCTGCGTCATTTCAGTTTTTTGCCTGAAGAAACCATTACGGTAAATGTTCACAACAGGTTATTTTATTTATTTTACTAAAACAACTCTTAACATTTGCATTGCATCCTTTTTAACATCCAGAGCACTTCATGTGCATTATCAATTGCCATCCATACAAAAATCTTGTATTCAGTGGTGGTTGTTGTTCTTTGGGGCCAGTAGGGCAGAAGATAGCGAGACTAGTAGAAGGCAGCGCAGCCTAATCCTCCTTCCTGCTGAGCTCTGCTGAGATATCCATAGAGATACCTGTTTATGCAAAACATGTTCTGTGCATTCCTAACCTTTGTAAAGGATAGGAGATGAAGCAAGACCTCACTTGATTTCTGAAAGCAGAGGTGGGAGACCTGAGACTCTCCAGATGTTTATAGACTAGAACTCCCACCAACTTTGGTTGGTGCAGAATTCAGTCCCTATTTCCACCAGGGAAACATTGGAGGGTATGGACTAGAATGTCCCCATTTTCATCGGAGAAATGTTGCAGGATATGCAACCATCATCTGAGGCCCTTCTTCCTTTTCCTCCTTCGAGAAAGGTCAGGAGGGCAGCAACACAAGAATGGGCCTTTTCTGTGGTGGCTCCCCACTTGTGGAATGCTCTCCCTAGGGAGGCTCACCTGGTGCCTTCATTACATAACTTTAGGTACTAGGTGAAATCATTTCTCCCTGGTCTTTTGCTAATTAAAGAACCTGTGGCCTTTTAAACGTGGGAGGGGGTATTGTTTTTGTTTGCTATTGTTACTTATTTTTGTTTT